TTACAGAAAAACTTTAACAATTTCATTAACAAAGGTCTAATATCTCTAATAATCTTGTAATCTCTAATAATCTTGCCTGATCTTATTATCTCTCCCATAGATAAGGTAGAATCATTTGGTAACAACTTTTCCTCTAACTTATTCTTAATCTAATGAACACACTCTTCCTGTCATGCTAAAAAAACAGGTTGATTTGCTATTAAGCATTCAAGTCAGTCCTTTTTTGGTGGTTTAAGTTCCAATTTTAAAAAACTATGGAGATCTCTCTGATCCCTTTAACTATTCCCCAATCAGTCTTCTCTTTATTATTAACAATCAGTCTTTTAATTATTATTAGCAATCAGTCTTTTCTCTATTATTAACAATAAGTCTTCTCTCTATTATCAACAATCAGTCTTCTCTCTATTATTAGCAAGGTCTTTGAGTATTTAGTAAACAAATTTCTAAGATCACAATTTTCGATTCTATTAGCAGATTCTTTAACTCTTAAAATTACAAACATCTTGAGTGTTTGAAACAACTGACAATCAATGTGGATTTTGATCTACTCATTCTACTCTTTTCTTGATATCCATAATAACAGGAAGTTTCTATTAGACATATGATGGATGTGGCTAGACAGAGAGTAATTCTTATTGCTCAAAGGCTTTTGATAAAACCTGGAAAACTGGTCTTCCCCATAAACTCAGCTCATATAGTTTATTGTGAAAAAAAAAATTAAATTATTCAATCATTCTTTTCATTAATAAAATTGTCCTTGATGGGGACACTCTCCATTATCATTGGTAACACATTTAGGTTACTATAAGGTTTTGTTGTTGTTGGACCTGCTTTAGCTGCTAAGTTTTAGCCTTTCTCTCTTTTTTTTTTACAAATAATGCAATGGTTTTTACTAAGTGAGCTATTGTCATTTGATTAATTAACCTATCCTCAATCTTGCATGGCTTTTAGCTGAGTTGCATCCTGTAAATCATACCTTTATACTTTTTTCTTCTTGATTATATATATATATATATATATATATATATATATATATATATATATATATATTTTTTTTTTTTTTTTTTTTTTTTTTTTTTTCTATTTTGTTTTCATCTTTTTCTTTTTTGAAAATATTTTGAAAATTTTTCAAATTTATATATGTATATATATGTATAAGTGGTTAATTTTAAAAATACTTAATCATTTCAGAAAAAGAAGAAAATGAAGTAGAAGACTAAAAAAAACACCACAGTTATAATACCATAATTAAATTAAAAATAAATTAAATTTTTTTTTTGTAATTTTTGTTGTTTACTAATTTCTTTAATTAATAAACTTTTTCTTACATTACAGTAAGTTTCTGTCTGTTGCTATTTTCCAATAATAATGTTAACAGAATTTATTATTATTTTTTAGTAATTTGTAACATAAAGTTTAAAAACTAAAGCCATTTTGCCTAAATGTTTTTTATTTTTTGTTGTAATCTCAAAATGATGTTTTTCCTACCAATCATAAACTTATAGTATTTCTTTATGATCAGGCGGTCAAGAAATTACAAACTTTTACTTTGTACTAAATACTGTTCTCAAACAATGTTTGTTCCACCAATTGAAAACATTCTGTATTTTTGATTATTTAATATAATTTTTAAAATTGATTGCCCAGAATTTGTGTGCGTCAAATAATAGCTGATCATTGGTGGTTGAGGACCAGTTATTTTGAGCACTGCACATATAAATGTATATAAGTTTTACTGTATGTAAATTTCTTTTTAGTATTGTGGTAGTGATTGATGGATATGATTTAAAAAATGAATATAAATATATATATAGATGTAAAGTTTTAGTTGTGTAATTAATTATTATCTTGTTCATTTCATTAAGCTTTGCATGATACCAGAGATTGCTAGTGGAGTACTTAGTGTCGATGTTGGATATAATGAAGATGATGACAACCAACACGAAAAAACAGTAACAATTTATACTATTTTAGTAAAATACAAACAATTTTTTTTTTTGCTTTTAAACTATTTTGGAAAATATTTTGTTTAAAAAATTTTTTTGATTCATTTATGCTGTCTTTTAATATGAGATCCAAGACTACAAAAGTTCTCCATAAATCTGCACAAAAACCATTTACTCAAATTTCTTTTTTAGGTTTTGAACATTGACAATGATGTTACATCATCAAGTAGTGAAAATAAAGAACTTGTTGAAAAGAATAAGCAGAAAGAGCGCCAGCAATATAATAAAAAAGTTTTATGCCAAGTGCAAGCTATTTTTGGTCATTTGTATGGTAGTAAGCTGCAATATTACATTCCTCATGGTTTTTGGCAAGTTTTTCGTCTTTGGGGAGAACCTGTTAATTTACGAGAGCAGCATGATGCTTATGAGTTTTTCAATACACTTGTTGATAATATTGATGAAGCATTAAAAGCTCTTGGTCATAATACAGTTTGTTCGAACATTTTAGGAGGATCATTTGCAGATCAAAAAATTTGTAAACAATGTCCTCATAGGTATTTTTTTAATATCTCTATTATTTTACATTACCTGTTTTTTAACACAAGCAAAACTTAGTTATAAAAAATATGTATTTATTACCTCTTAAAAAAAAATTAGAGTTAATGCACTTAAATGTTAACATTTTGTTAAGCCACCTTTAGCCACATATACAGCTTTAATTTTGTGTGATATGCTATCAATTTTGTATGGCTATCAATAAAAGACTGTATTATCTTTTTTTTTTAAGGTGATTCTACACATATGATCTTTTCTAATAGTTGTGTTTAGTTTTTCATTTGATCTTAACCACTTTCCTTTTTCATCAGCTCCCACATGTTTTCAATAGGGATTCATATCTGACTTAAATGGGAACATTTTGCTCTTCCAAAAAAGCTTTAACAGACCGTGATGTGTGACAGAGAGCTTCATCTTGCATAAAAATAAATGATTCCCCATTTCAAAATTATCTTCTGAGCTGTGGAATAAATTGGTTTTCTAGAATTTTTTTGTATTGATCTTGTCTGACATATCTTTTCCCATGTATGTTTGTGGCTGATGACTGACCAGATCATTAATTTTGTAGGGTGCCTAATAGTCTGGATGATGCAGTCAGGATGAAACTTTTCTTCATGACAACAGAGCTTTATTCTTCAAAATTTCAAATGAGCTTTCATAGCTGAAGCTGACCTGTCAAAAAAATAAACATAAATATAAACATACAATATATAAACTAATATATTTGTGTTAGTATTAGTATTAGTAATTGCTGTAACTAGTGTGAGCCAATGAGTTTGATATTAATACACTATGACAGCCAATTTGCTTGATTGCTGCTCATCCAGCTATCGAGATAAAACTATCGAGCTTTAAAACTGTTAACTGTTTGCGTTAACCAACTTGCTTAGCAAGCTGTTACAAAAATTGTCTGATCTAAAATTCTGATTTTAAAAAAACATGCTTGCTTAGTGAATTCTTTGACACATTTAAAGTGGTGACCCCTCATTTGAGTTTGTTGAAAACTAAATTTTTTTTTATTGTTTCCAAATTGTTAAAACCATTTAAAGAATTTAAAAAGTGAATCTCCTCTTCTTTTTGTCAAGGTAATTAACTCAAGAGAGCTTTTAGGCTCATAATTGATTTTCTTGAGTGGTGGTATTAATTGAGTTGCACGATGTTGGACTCTTTTTAAAAAGTTGACCAAACTGGCACTGCAACTCTAACAGTGGTCTCACAAAAGTAACATAAAGTATTCTCAGGAAAGAACAAAGCATTTTCTAAACTGACTCAACATTTGTTTGGCTTTGCCTGTACATTTTATTAGATGATTTTTCCATTTCAGATTGCTTGAGAAGATTACTCAAAGATCACTTTCAGATTCTGTTATGTTTAATTTTTTTTATTGATATAAAGGGGTGATTTTTTGTTAATCCGGTCAAAGTGCAATTTGAACTTATATTTCGAAATGTTAAATTTCACAAGCCAGTCTTGAGTCCACCTAAAAGCTAAACTGAGATCTGATTGCAAAGAAAGAGTTAATGCTCAGGAAAACATTTCATTCAAAATTTTGGTGTCATCTGCATAAGCTTGGTTATGTTTTTTAGAGTTTTAAGCAAATTGTTTATAAATAACACAAAAAAGAGTGGTCCAATTACTGACCCCTGTGGCACACCACTGGTAGTTTCTGCCGAAGAGGATACATTTTCGCCACAACTATTTTTCTTTCTTCACAACTCTTTGTTTTCTTTCTTTTAAAAAGGCTTCAATTCATTGAATTGTCAGACCAGATATTCTGTAAGCTGTTAGTTTAAACAAAAATCTTTTATGTGGCACTATGTCAAATGCCCTGGCAATATCCACAAAAACAAATAGTTGAAATAAAATCAAGTGTTTGTTGAGCTTTTTAAACTGTGCTGTTGCTTGACTATTAATTTGAACTTATACAGAAAAGTTTCAAGTTTACATCTGATTATGCTTTCAATCATTTTACATGCAATTGAAATGAGTGATACCGGTTGGTAGTTTTGTTAAGGTTTTTTCTCCTTTTTTGTACAGAGTAGTGATATTTACTGATCTAAATTGTACTGGCAGTTAACTAGTTTTAAATGACATAAAATATATGTAAAAGGAATGGCGAAGGCTAATGCACAATTCTCTAAAATAGAAAAGTGTAAATTATCAACACCACTTGATTTGTTTTCTTCCAAGTTTTTTAATTATAGAAGGACACCTTCATATGTAAAATCTTCATTTATCATATTGACTGTTTAAGTAAGTTTCAGTAAATCAAAAATGCAGAAGACCATTATCTTTTTTTAGCTTGAAAATTGTTGTTTAAAATATCATAATACATGTTTGCAAATCATTCTGTATTTAGGTTTCAACTGCTTAAGTAAATGAAAAGGGTCTTTCCATTTACTTGAGCAGTTTTTTATATCTTAAATTTTGTTTGCTTTTAAGAAGAAACTTTAACTTAGCATGGTCTGATTTTTAGAGAGTTTAATGTCTTTTTGATTGGAGTGAAATTATTTTTTTCACTTCAGTGTAAAAAATCAGTTTATCAAATATTTCTTGTACGTTTTTATTACTGAAGCATTGCATCCAGTCAATATTTGAAATTAGGTCAGATATGAGTTTAACATTTGAAGTTAGGTCAGATATGAAGTGAGGTCAGACATGAATTCAAAATTGGAATTAGTGAACATTAATCTTTGCTTGCTTTTGTTGTCACAGATTGCTTTATCAGACAAGATGAAACTGAAATATAATAATAAAACTTAAATATACACTAACATATATAAACTAAATAAGTGTGACTAGTCTTTCTTAAAATAATATAGTACCAACTTACCAACCTCCAGAGATTCATATCTTTATTGCATTACTGTTTGGCCCAGTTTTGCAGCTATTTTGCAGGTTTTTCAGCCTTAAATCCTTTATCTTAAACTAAAGTCCAAATTTTTTATTGAATATAGAAATATAAATTTTTTATTGAATATAAAAATTCTCCTGAATAAAATTTCTTATTAAAAAAACTACAGTATGTCTAATAATTTGGTCAAGGACTATATCTATATATACAGTATTGTGCAAGTTAATTGCATCAAAAATTTGTTGTTATTTGTTGTTTTATTCTACGTTTTCTCTAATTTAACTGATTAGAAGGAAAATTAAAAAAAAAAAAGTAAATAAACAAAGATGGACACTACACCAAGAAAAAGATCAAAAATATTACCTTTACTTCAGTAAAGTTAATATTTTATATATGTAATATTTATCATATAAAATGTAATATTTTATATGATAAATTTCAAATGGAAACAACCACATTATGTTCAGTTAACCAATCTACAGTTAGCCGGGTCAAGAAGCATTACTTTGCAATAGGCAGCTTATCACCATTAAGACAAGGAAAATGTGGTTGAAAATGAAAGACCTCAGTGAGAGATGACCAATATCTGATGCTGGAAAGTATCAAAAATCCAAAAAAGACAAGTGACCAACTAATGAATGATTTAGCTACGCATGACATCCATGTCTGCTCAAGTACTGTGTGGAGGAGGTTCATAGCTGTTAAAAGGTTTCCATGAAAACCTTCTAAAAAACCATTACTTACAGATGCCATGAAGAAGCGTATTTTGTGGCCAAAGGAATACAAAAAGGGAAGTAAAGAAAAATGAAGAAGGGTACTGCAAAATGTAATTGTTAAAAGTACAGTTATTTTATTTATTATACTTGTGTAATCATATTATTTTTAAAAACTGAAGATATTAAATTGAAGAAACATTGTTGATTTATTTTCTTTAATAACAGACTTCATAATTGTTAACTTGTTTATTTATTAATTGCAGATTTTATTTTCAGACGAATCACATTTCAAAGTGCAAGGCCAGCAATCAAAGTTTGTTTGTCGGTCTGATGGTGAGCCTATAAGACCTGGACACATTGAACAATATGCCAAGTATCCAGAAAAGGATAAGTTTAAGAGTTGTTTCTGTGCTGGTAGACCAGGAGCACTCTACCCAGTTACTGGCATGATGAACTCTAATACTTACATAGAGGTTCTGTTTAATTTCAGAGATATTAATAGTGTTTCCAACTGAAAATGGAATATTGCAGCAGGACTTAACCTCATGCCATACATCCAAAAAAGTCAAAAAATTCATTGTAGAAAACAATATTAAAACCCTTAAATAGCCTGGCAACTCCCTAGATCTCAATCCAATTGAGAATCTTTGGGCAAAAAAAAAGACTGCAAAAACATGATTGCACAACTAAAACTAAGTTTACCACCACTAAGTTTACCGCCACTATCCTTCTAATTTGGTTTGAAAGCCCAGAAATCCAAAACATTTGCAAAAATTTAGTAGATTCTATGTAGAATTGTGTGCAAAAAGTCATAGGGGTTGTCCATAAATTACGTCACACTATAAGGGGAGAGGGGGTTGGTGGTTTTGTGACAACTGATACAAAACTTGCATCTAAAAGTTACAATTTTGTGACAAGGAGGGGGAATCAAAAAGGGTCAAAACTTGGGTGATGTAATTTATGGACAACCCCATAGCAGCACACTGAAAATATTAGTGTATAAGTTTTTATTAAACCTAAAAACACGTAGAAATATTGAGGTCTGGATCCAAATTGTGTGGGTAAAATAAAAATAAACTTTTACATACTAAGGATTTTTAAGCAAACATTGTGTTTTCCTTTTATTTGAGTTATTTATCCTAAGATAAACTCATAATGGATTTAGATTAAATTAATAAAATGAAAGTTTATGAGTTGAAGCAGTATTTAAGACTTCGAAATTTGCGTGTTTCTGGAACAAAGAGGGAATTGGTTGCTCGTGTATTTTCTGCAATGGAAAACTTTATTGAGCCTGTACTAACTGCTACCGAGGCAGTTAAAGAATTTAAAGATGAATATCAAAAAAAAACTTTTAATTGGCAATGTTAAATGCAGTGATCCGTTTATCTTATTAGATGGTTGGTTATCTGAAGAGGACAGTATTAAACAA